ACTATACACAAATTGTCTTGCTCACTGACTTCTCTTGAAGGTGGAAACATGGTGCCTGCATAGTCTGGTTTTTGTCAGACAACTGCATGCACACACACAAATTTGATTCCCAGAATGACTAGACAGCCGGAAGACTTCTCTGTGCAAGGCCAGTTTTCCCAACATTCAATATCAGATCTTGGATCTTTCAAGCGATGTCATTTTAGACATCTGACCATTGGCTCAAGTTGAGCAAGTGGGGATTAACTGACAGTATTTTAGATGTTTCCATTTAAGCTTAGCATTATGTTCGTCTCTTTGTCTCAGAGCACAGAGGAGGTAAGATTTGTTCTCACTTTTTTGGTGAGAACAAAGGTCCTTTTAGCTTCATATCCAACAGTGGCCAGAAGCAGATGTATGAAAAACAAAAGCAGGAGACTAGAAAGCATACTTCCCACTAGTAATCTCCCGGCTACTAGACATCAGAACAAGGACTTTGAATCACGTATGGTTCCTGGGAGTCCTGAAGGCTGGACTTACCTGTAAAGACTGAGTCAAAGAAGGCACCAAGTGGCTCAGCTTTTTCAGTGTCTTTTGTCTCCAGATCCCCTACCCCAGTCAGTAGTGGCCCCACATTTTCCCTAGTCCTTCTTTGGCTGATGATGTACCTCTAGAAACCTTTTTGTTGCCCTTCAGAACTCTCACCAGATTCAACTCCAGATGAACTTTGGCTTTCCTAACCCAATCCCTTCATGATTGGACAGGGTGTCTATAACCGTCCCAGATCATCTTCCTCTGCTTCCACCTCTTGCACATTTCCTTTTTATTTATGAGTTTATTTAGGAGCTCCTTGTTAATCATTTTGGCCTTCTGCCACTTTCGCTTGACTTACTGCTTTGTCAAGATTCTTGAGCTTGAAGGAGCTGATCTCTGAAAATCAAGCAGCTCTCCTAGACCTATCCTCTGTCCAGGACCATAACCCATGGGATTCTTCCAGGCAGATCCCTGAAGATCCCAAATTCTGCTCTCCTGAAGTCCAAGGCTGCGGTCCTGCTTTTTGCATTGCTCCCTGTTCTCTGGATCTTGGGCTGAAACACTGCATCATCACTGCAGCCAAGGCTGCCCCTCACCTCTTCAAACACACCAATGCTTCCTCATTTGCAAGTAGGAGGTCCAGATTCTCAATCACTTGTGTCAGCAAGTTTTCGTCAGTACTCCAGGAACTGCCTGATTGCTTGTGCCCTGCTGTGCTGTCCCGCCAGCAGACATTTGGCATGGTTCATGCCTGGTCCCATGAGGACCAGGGCCAGTGAACGTGAAGCTTCTTCCAGTTGTCTGAAGAAGGCCTTGTCTACTTTTTCTTCCTGATCAGGTCATCTCTAGTAGCCACCCACCACAATGTCATCCATGCTGATCTGCCCTCTAATCCTGACCCATACACTATTAGCTGCCTCATTGTACATCCCAAAGCAGAGCTCCGTGCATTCCAGCTGCTCTCTGACAGAAAGGGCAATTGCCCCTCCTTGCCGTCCCAGCCTGTCTTTCCTAAACAGCCTGGCTCCATCCATTACAGTACTTCTTTAAGCTACCCCATTGCACGTCCATGATCTCATAGCTCTGCAACCAGGCCACAGAGGAAAAACTGGGCCATGCTGGAGAAGAGCCCAGGCAATGTGCACTAACCTGCACTTCACCATACATTTCAGTTCTTGGGTCATGTGAGCTATCCCACTACATCTCTGTGTTGTCAATGAGATCGTAGCCATGCAACTACTAGCAGAGCTCTAATTTATCTTGTTTTTTCCCCATATTCCATGCATTTGTGCACAGGCACTTTAAAGAGGCACCCAGTCATGCTGATTTCCCAGAAACTATATGAGAGCTTTCTTTTTCCCCATAGATACCTCCTTATTTATGTACACATACTGAAGTGCACCCCTTTCAGCCCTTTTTTTTTTTTATTATGAAGTCTGCCCTGTTTATATCACTCCTCATACATTTTGTACCAACCCTTCCCACCACTTTCTCACTTGATTATTGATCATCCTCTTCCTCCCCTGTTGTTCCTAGTTTAAAGCTCTTCGTATCAGGTTGGCCAGCCTGTTGGCAAAGATGGTTTTGTCCCATTTAGTCAGATGGATCCCATCTCTTCCAAATCCTTAATCCTCAAAAAGGGTCCCATGGTCATAGAAACCAAGTCCCTTTTGCCAATGCCAGCTGTGCAACAAACTATGACCCGCAGGATCTATCCACTCATCCTTCTCACCGCCCTCCCCCTCACCAGCAGGATCAAAGAGAAACCCACCTGGGCCCACATACCCTTGACCATGACTCCCAGAGCCTGCTTGCTACTTTCCAGGACTCCCCTGGCAGTATAATTAATACCCACATGGAAGAGCAATCAGGGGATAGTAGTCTGTAGGTGTAATAAGATTTGCAAGTCTTTTAACAATGTCCCCAATCCAAGTTCTTGGCAAGGAGTAAACCTCCCTAGATGACAGGTCCAGCTGTCAGAGGGGTCTTCTGTTCCCTGCAGCAGGGAGCCTTCCATTACTAACACTCACCATTTTTTCTGGTGCTCCTGTGTGTCTCATGGTCAATGGGCATTTGGCAGAGCTCCCAGCCCCTGACTTGCTATGAGAGCACTGAATCTATTCTGTAGTTGCAAATGCTCAGGTGGAGCAAGAGCCTTCCTCTTGGTGTCAGAAGTCACAAGCTCCCAGCCTTCGTCATCATGGGAATCTCCATTTCTGTGGTGGGTTGACCCTGCCTGGACACCAGGTGCCCACCAAAGCTGCTCTATCACTCCCCCTCCTCAACTGGACAGGGGAGAGAGAATATAATGAAAGGCTCGTGGGTTGAGATAAAGGCAGGGAGAGATCACTCACCAATTACCGTCATGGGCAAAACAGATTCAGCTTAGGGGAAAGTAGTTTAAATTATTACCAATCAAATCAGAGTGGGATAATGACAAATAAAAACTAAATCTTAAAAACACCTTCCCCCCATCCTTCCCTTCTTCCTGGGCTCAATGTCACTCCTGATTTTCTCCACCTCCTTCCCCCTGAGCGGCACAGGGGGACAGGGAATGGGGGTTGCGGTCAGTTCATCACATGTTGTGTCTGCTGCTCCTTCCTCCTCAGGGTAGGACTCCTCACACTCTTCCCCTGCTCCAGGGTGGGGTCCCTCCCATGGGAGACAGTCCTCCATGAACTGCTCCAACGTGAGTCCTTCCCACGGGCTGCAGTTTTTCACGAACTGCTCCAGCGTGGGTCCTT